TATAATACCCAGTAATCGTAAATTTCAATGTATGAATATTAAATATGAATATCCTGTACATAGGTCGTGGTAAATTTAAGGACACATTTTCCCTTTAAAAAATTAGCCTAATTAGCAAATAGTATTTATTATTTTGTGATTGTTTAACTTTCATTGTGTTAACTTTTTAGTAAAATTCATTTAGGTAATGAATTAATTTCTCAAAAATATTTTAATTAAAAATAAAATTTATTCATTTATTTTGAATGGTTTATTAAAATATGTTTAATATTATTAAAATGATCTATCTATATAGAAAATAAACTTAATATTTATTCTATATTTCATTGATTTATCTATTGTATATTATAATAGACACCAGTTAAGCCCATATATAAGGTTAGATGACAAATTCAGAATTATTTTCGCAGAATTTATAAGTAAATAAAAAAATAAAAATAAAATAAATCCTTTAATATTAAGGCTTGAAATTTTTACACGTTATTTTTGATATTCAAGACAATGTTCATACACTATTTCGACATTCTTTATCCATTTATTAATGCTAATATTATTCAACCTGTAAATTCGTCAACTTCTCCACACTCTCATCACACTCCCCACACTAATGACCTTTTAAGTATATATAGGTATCAATCTATACATACGACCTTAGATGTTCAGTAGTCGTATTTTTATGATGTAAATAATATATATGATTATACCACCGCAAAGATATCATAATGGAATAATATTATATTATAATGTAAATGTAATAATAATAATATGTTAGTCATATTTTACAAAGTCATATAATGATATTACTGTAATTACGTAATACGGTACGAATAGCTCACGGTCGTCAACGAAGTTTCGTGGTTTTTTTTTTTCATATAATAAATACAGCTGTACTTCAATAATTGGGTATTCCAGCCTAGAGGGAACACGAAACACAAACACGCAACCATAAGTTACGCCCGATCGGAGTTTTGTGTCAAATGCAATATTGAAATAAAATCGCCAATCAAATCAATCGATATTATATCTAACAGTAGCATTACATTTTTTTTACAATCGAATGCACAGAATTATGTTATGTTTTTGTCGTTTAACGATGCCATGTAAAATAAAAATAAAATAAATATATAATATTTATATACACTAAAATATACGTTAATTGACGATAAAATATATAATGTGTGTAACTTTTTAATAAGAACTAGGTATTACGATAAAAGAATTTAAAAGGAAGATACTTGTATTCACCGTATTATTAAGATACACATAAACTGCAATAGTGACACGTCAAATAAAAATTATCTTAGTTATTTGTTGTTTATATCATTGAATGTTTTGGTATCTACCGAATAGATAACAATCTGTAATGATAATATCCTATGAATTAATTTTTTTATAAACATGTATATTTTAGGTATATATTATTATTAATAAAAAATAATCATATAATAATATTAAACTATAATTTTTTTTTTTTTTTGGTATACCCTCCCAAATAATCATTCTAAATAAATAATTACAGATCGTATGTTTTAAATAAAATAAAAAATAAAAAAAAAATATATATATATGATATAAATTGGTACATATAGTTATATATTTTACATATTTATTAGATTTATAAGCTTATTCATTACAACTCGTATATTACAATGTTGTTCCGGTGTTTTTAATTTAATTTTAATTTTTTATTAAATGAATATTGAATTACATTATAATAGGTAGGTAACTTATAAATGCCAACTTTAATTCGTCGTACTTACGTAGTTTGATTAACATAATATTAAACAATAATTTTCCGTACCAGAGTATATTAATTAAGCACGTTTTTTTCAAAACGATATTGACCACTTTATAGGTTTTTACGTTTGGAGCCCGTTTTATTAAAAAGGATTTGACAAGTTCAATTTTATTCTTTCACAAAAAAGTTATGTATATTTTCAAACTTTTAGGCGCGAGAAATAGGTCATTGAAGTATTAACTACCTCTATTTGCTTAACTTTTGTTCTTAATTTTAGCAAATTATGTGAGCAAATTTAATTGTCCATATTAGAAAAAAGATGATATTGCTACTATATATCATAACCTAACAAATTAAACATTTAAAACATAATTTTATTTAAAAATTAAATATTAGGATAGGTTTTTTTATAAGACTTATTAGATAATTTTATGCTGATTTAAAAAAAAAAAAAAACATAAATCATTTTTTTTTTCATACAAAATGCAATTAATTACGCTAAATACATATAACACAGTAATGAACATTAAAACAACATAATTTAGTAATACAAAATCAATTATGTATTTATTAAAGGAAAAAACACAATTTTAAACTTTGCTCGATTATTGATATTGTTGCTGATATACGGTAGCTCACAAAATAATTTACTAATTCAAACTCAGTTCTTAATTAGAGAAACTTCAGTTTTACATTTAAAATACTTTTATTTATGACGATAAATCAAGTATACTATATCAATATAATATAATGTATATAAATATTATTTACTAGGAATTATAATACTTGTTATATTGATTTAAAATTAAAGTTACATAATAAGCAAACACTTAATGTCTTTTGACTTAAAATATTGAAATGCACTCAGTTCATATTGACAGTTACATCATTTACACTCGAGTAACGTAAGTGAATATTTACTTTAGTATAGTAATTAGTGGCGTATTCATACAAGATGAGCGAATTGTTTTCTAGTGAGGGAGCCTTGTATATTTTTTATTTATACATACAATTATAAAAAAAAAAATTCAAATTAAACTTTTTAATCAAAAAAATTAAGTTGTTGAGTGTAAAGCTTTGTATCAATAATTTTAAATTATATTTAAAAACAATTGTATTCGCTCGTAAGATACTTCCTTTCTCCATAAATAATAATTAAAAGGGTCAATCACTGTAATAACTTTTTAAAAACATATTTTAATTTAAATAATACTAGCCAGATAAAATGTTTTATGATAATTACAAACAAAAAGTCATTATTATTAAGCGTATTAAATTCAATTTAAAATGTATTTTATAACTTGAACGGACGTGAAGACTGAACCTAAGTTTTATTAAATAAAATAAATTATATCGTTTCCACCTTATCGTCATTGCAACTGGAAATGTTCACTCTGTAAATTTAAAACTATTGAAAGTAAATACCTATTTACCCGTACGCACCGAACCTAAGACGATTTTAACGAATACAGCAATATTATATGTGCAAATGCAAACTCCCCTGAAAAATGAAACAATAAATTCCCCAAAAAGCATTTCGCTACTACTACATTACATTTACGGAAATTCTCCAAAAACATTTTACAAACAATATTAGAACCATTTATCGAAACTCAGAGAATACCACGTGGGGGCAGTTCTAGTTATTCTCCAAAAATATATGTTTTTTTTTGTTAAAAAGTAGATTAACTTTTTTAAACTGAATTGAGATAATATTTTCTCCGTATTAACTTCTAACTTATTAAGAGTTAAATTTATGATTTGTTAACTGTTAACTTCTAACTTATCGATACTCTTAATTTAACTTGAGTTAATTATTCTCATTAACTTGCCCAGCTCAGAGAATTAACGTAAGTGTAATACGGTGGCAAAATGACTTTATAGGAATTTACAAAAACGTTAAAGAAGTTTATATGTGTCTGTTATATCATCTATTAGAATGAAATAATGATAATATTTACATTGGAAAAGGTTTTACAGTTGTTCTTTGATAAGATCTTTTGTGACTCTAAATTTTAATTTTAATCTTAGGTTAGCCAAAAGATTTGTTTATCGGTTTCGCCGCCAGTTTGACTTATCAGTAAAGTTCGTATAGTTCCGAAGATTGTTTCGACGATAGCGGCGGTGGCTTGATACATAAAGATTTCGACGCCTTATATTACGTATTATTATTCTCTGGTTTACTCACGCATTATTAAATCCACTAATATGTTAAAAAAACCGTGTCACGATTGTATAATATTTAATAGGTGCCTATAACTGCCTACCTATAAATATATATATATATATATATATTTGTATTGTTTATGCAGATGCCGTGCAAAAAATTCCGATTCGAGTTCCTCTGATGTCGATATACTCCTTTAATATAATATATATAATATGAGTATAAAAGAATGTATTTACAATTTATAACCTGTAAATATAATATGCATTTTTAAATACGACATACGACACGCAATGAAAAATTATTAAATGTCGTGGCATGGTCCGGAGACTAGAAAGGTCGTTACTAAATGAATGCATAGGTACACATATAATATATTATGACAGTACCATTATTCCTCATTATATATATGAATATGCACATAAATTATTAATTTAAAAAATAATTTATTGAGATTGTTACGGTTAATGGTTATTAATAAGACACGTACACATTGAATAAAAACATTTTTTGAAGATTTCTGATTCGTATTAGGTTATACTAATACAATAAACACTGTTAAAACAACGCCGGTTGTAATAATATACCAGATTTAATGATTTAAAATTAAAGGTCCCAGCCCAAGGACCTATATTTTATAATATTCTAATGTGTAAAGATTATTAATAATATGATATAATAAATAACCAAGGTTATAAAATGATTTAATTATGAAATGTATAATAAATCAATCATTTAATATAAATTATTAGCATACGAGTATAGTGTTTCAAGTTTTGATAACAAAAGTGTTTTTTATGGCCCAGTGAATATTCTTTAAAAACGATTTCTACTATGCGTGATCACTTTAATAGTACAAAAAATGTATTCTATTCTGACGCATATTTATTTATCTTAATGATACGTCAAATACACAAAAGCTATTTAATCCAAATAATAATTATAATAAACTTTGTAGTAATAACAATTTATAAAATAATGAATATTACAAGTAAAAATTTAGATAACCAAGGCTAGGAACGTCTTATATTATTAAAACTAAAAAAAAAAAATAGTTAAATTAATTATAATAATAATTAAAAACGTCAATCACTGTATAGATCTAATAAATTTAACACGATTTGTATTTAAGTGCAAACTCCAGTTATAATAATAATCATTATTAATTATCACTTAGTTTTAACCTTGTCGTTTTTAAAAGTGTATTTACGAATACGTTTAAAAACCTTATACACTAAAAATGTAACTAAGAAAACAAAAATTAACACTACAACAAACACGTCCAACAGTAGATATTGATACCACGTCAAATTTAGAGCGTGAGATTTCAAATGTGGAGCGCCTTTGTGACGAATTACATATTCCGTCCAATAAACGACCGACTCTTGAGGCGTCATCGGTCGGTCTTTGAATCGGATAGAAGCAATTTTAGCATTTTTTGAGTATCTATAAAAACAATATACACAATATATAAATATATGACAAATACCGTTGAAAACTAGTATAGTAGATATCATATTATGATGTATTATTCGTGACGCATGTCATCGGAGACTTACGTTTCGTCGTTGATAAGTTTTGAAATGGCATTAGTCAATTTTTCTTTTGTCGTCGATAAAAAATCCATGGATATCGCCATTCCGGCGAGGACCAAATGTTCGACATTTCTCGGCTGATCGTAAAACAATGGTATTCCCAGTACGGGAACTCCGCCGTCCAATGCTTCGTATACTCCGGACATACCTCCATGACTAATAAACAGTTTCACTTTGGGATGCACTGTAAAAAGTGATATTGTAACTATATATTACTTTTTCCCAAGAACACAAACACGGTAATGTATCAAAAATAGTACTTACATAATATTTCTCGTTGAGGAAACCATTTTTTCGTCATTACGTTTTTCGGTTTGTCCTTCATTTCACCTTCGTATTTCCACAAGACTCTCTGAGGAACGTTGGCCAACGCTTCTTTAAATGCGTTTTCAATATGTTCAGGTAACGATGATACTTTAATCGTGGAACCGAATGTGAAGAAAATCACTCCGTGAGGCGAGTCTTCGATAAAGTCTAATATGTCCTTTAACAAAAATATTAATGAAACTTAATTTATTAGTAAATTAAATTATTCATTGTACATTTTCTGTTTTCTATCATTTTGTGTATCCGATATAATTTATAAAAATAAAATGTTTCTCATAACTTAAACACACACAATTTTTAATTAAGTGAAGAAAACATAAAAATTGTAGTATTTTGCTTGTATTTAACAGGTGTGTAATTTAATATTATATTTTAAATTATGTACAGTTCTTTAGAGTAAATAAGGGAAGCGATTGAATGCTGAATATGACAACATTAATATACATTCAAAATGCTATCACAATAATATTTCAAAAAAAAAAAAAAAAACAGGATTTTCTAAATACTATAATTTTATGACGAACAACTATTTAACTTGGTATCACAATTCATAATATAAACCATTAAAAACTATAATTATAGTTTCAGAAGTGTGTAGTATATCGTTTACAAATTTTGTCTTATTCACAAATACTTTTTTTCGGATATCAGATTTCATAAGTAAATTTTAAAATCTATATGATATAACTCTATGCTAAGTTAAAATTCTTAAATTATTACAATTTTTATGGATACATACACAATTTACACAATTTAATATGCATACCATTATCAACGTAATTAACGGTTTTTAATGTATGATCATGATTTGTGTATAGGTACTTATCGTATAAAATATTAAACAATGTTATCATAGTAACTATCGGTATACAATAGTGATGTGAGGAAACAATATTTGTTTTTTTAAAAAAAAAGACACAGACCATAAAATATATACTAAAGTATGCCATTCTGAAACACTATATATTTTTAAATTTGAAAAATTTGTGTAAATTCTGTTTTGGAAAAAAAACTATATTAATTTATTTGATTAGGTGTGTTTAAAATTTTAATACGATTGGATTTGGATATCATTGGTAATAATTTCATCTTAAAAATGTTTCAAGAATTAAAATTACGAAATCTAACATCATTATACACACAAACACTCATACACATGTAATATATTAAGTACCCATATCAAATATAATACAAGTAATACAACAATTTAACAATCACTTACTTTCGGTATGATTTTAGCGGATTTCAGGTGTATGCCGCCTATGTAAACAACATTTGAAGTGACTGGTCTCGGGGACTCGGTGACATAATGACTATTCTGAAAGATGATGGACGGGTTGACGGTTGGAACCAGATCATACGGTCTAGCATCCATTAATCTGAACACTAGCCGGTCGTACGTGTTTCTGACCATGCCATACGTCAGCAAAGCCGTGTTTGTAAACCTCTGGATAAATGTACTAGGAACGGCATAGTTAGCAAAAGTGTTAGATACATAAGAGGGATTAGACAAATGACCTGTATACAGCCGTTCGGTAAATGTAATCATAGGTGACGGGATCACGTAAATTACGGGCAGACCAAGCGCATCGGCTATGTACGAAAAGCAGTCGAAACTCAGTGGTTCGATTAAAAGCAAATCGAACCGGTCGCGGATACTGGAAGCTAACAAATCGGCCAATTTCCGGTTACCGTGTATCACATCGCAATAGAACCTAGTCAGGACGGATAAAACTTTGACTAACGTGAACGGGTCGCCATAGTCCTCGATTGCCTGCATCGCGTCCAGGTTGAGCTTCATCGGAAAATCGCTAGAAGTATCCACCTCCGTGTAGTTTTCTCGGTCGCCGTCCGGAAATGGCGTAAAAACGGTCACGGTGTGTCCGGCGTCCACCAGTGACCTGAGCACCGAGCTCATGAAGTTCCAGTGACTCTTTCCCGCTATCGTTTCAATTGCTAATATCCGAGAAGCCTCCGAGACCGGAATCGTCCGCAGGTCAACTGATAACCACAAAAGCAACGTTAACGAGACCGCAGTCGACATTTGTATCAGCGCCATTGAAGTTCTTCTTGTTTGTGTAGGTTTTAGGAAAGCAGTTGTATACAATCCGTTTTAGCTACACGTACGAGTATGCTCACGATATTTCCTTGTTTTTTTTAAGGATAAAAATTAAATTATAAGTATCACCACCATAAGTTACTACCGTACGTATATTATGCAAGAGCGTGTGTGTCCAAACAGCTCTGAACGCGAATTGCGGCTGTCCACGGTCAAGTTTCGCCAGTCATTACACATTTGACGGGGAGTGGTACACAATATTAACTATGTATTTATATTCTTAATGATCACCTATAATGTCGTTATTTTTAATAATACGGAAAAGTTTTGCATCATAACTTTGTACATCATATTATAGATACAATTTCGATTTCCTATTATTTAAAATTATAATTATACTATACGGTATGAGACTTTAAATCCAATTATACGTCTATATTTGCTATTTTTAGTATATCATGATAATTTGTTTAGTTAAAACTAGTTTTCAATGCCGTTTTAAATTCTTCAATTGTTTTGAGTGATTATGTTGAAATACCATTGGTTAACTGTTTGTATAGTTTCTATTCTAAAATAAAATGTTATTAAACTATACGAATTCGCTACCTATATGAAGGAAATTATGTTTGTTTACTTAAAAGATATAAAAAGTTCAGTGAATAATTTTGCAAACGATGAAACAATGTCAGCGTGTCTTACACTCATTTTGTGATGACACGTGTTTTAAATAGGTACAGAATAAAACGAATACACTTTATTTATTTTTATAATAACTATGTTAAGTTCATTGCCAAAATCAAAACTATATTTTTCGTGATGGTGACCCTACTATGGTAAACATATTTTAAGCGGTACTATACATATATTAATTATCAAAAATATGATAAATATTTATTTTTAGGATTGTGGATATCCATATCCGAGTCCACATTGTTTTCTTTCTGAAATATCAATTGTGATAATATTACAATTATATTATAATATAATACATAATTATACTAATTATATTATGATATAAAAAGAGTTTTAATATCTCAAAATTATATTATTTAATAAATATTTCATCAATAGTATTTAATATCATGTTAGTGTGCATATTCAAAAATAATAGTATTATATTTTCATTGAATTTTTTTTTATTTTAATTTTAAAACATAGTACAGTTAAACCTGACTTAACGGACACCTTTCTTAACGGACAAAATGTCCAGGTCTTGGCAAAAAGATAGGCATTCCAATGTATTTTGACCTGTCTATAATGGACTCGTTTTATTACGGACACAGACACTAATATTTAACCCGAAAATGTCATAACTAAAGACCGGATTCCCGTGCAATCGCATCTTTTTATGGCGTGTTCTAAATTCAATAGATACAAGCTACAAATCCAAATCAAGAGATGTAGATTAATTTAAAGAAAGTTTTATGTTGCACAAAATTGCACGTTACAGGTTTTTTTTACAAAAATGTACTTTTGTACAAATATTTTTATATTTTTGTATTATTTTTATTATATTATGTTGTTTTACAAATTATTGGACTTTTATATCTAACAATATAATTATATATATATATAACGATATAATACGAATTAAATTCAATTTTAAATTATCAAATAAATGTAGTTGAAACAGTAAGGGATGGACTTAAGACAATTGAAAATGAAAAGGGACAAATACTATATGAAAAATTCAAATCAGTATTTGATAAAAATCCCGGATACAAAATTTTAAAACTGTACAACAATTCAATAAATGGAAATTATGTGGATTTAAAAGAAGATCCTGCTATTTAAGCTGCTACAAACAATGCCCAAAACATATATTAAGTGACAGAAGACATAACTTTAAAGAAAAAAACTTGGAAATGTACATGATTATAAATTTTAATCGAATATTCTAAAGTCAGTTATTATTTATTACTTATTAAAATTAATAATTGAAGTATCTATAATTAAAATTATGTTTTTGCACGTTTTAATTTTTAACATTTTAATTGCACATTTTTTAGATTTTAGCTGCATAAAAATCCAGTCTTTAGTCATAACGGACAAATATACATACTACAAAACAGCGTCAATAAGGAACGCAATTAGGTCATTCAGTGAAAATACGCATTACGACCAATTACATTATCGCCGATTACGATAATGCTAATTGCGAGTACCTATTGAATTCATAAAGTTGAAATTTGTACAACAATTTAGGTTAATACAATTTAACAGAAATATATCCAGATATAAATTACAATACGTATAAATGATAACTATGAGTATCAAACGTTTTTAGTTTTTATTCAGTTTCTATCGGTTTGCAGTCAGAGTTGTTGTACATCATTTCCTTAGCAACGTCACCTCCCACGACGCGTAATACTTTAAATTTAAAACAAAAAAAGAACATTATTTCTTTTAGATACTCAAATGATGGTTGGTCTATTCGTAAACTTAATATAATATGTATAATAAATTTATAATGTGTCATTGTATGTATATAATATAAAAATAATAATTAAAATTAAATTTATAATTATGTGTATAATATATAATATTAATGAAGATTATACCTAATACATATTATAATATATAAAACAATATAAAAAAATGTATGGATCATGCTTGTAGATTAATTTTATTTTTAAAACATTGAAACCTGTCTACAACGAACACCTGTCTATAATGGACAATTATTTTGGTCCAGTGACTGTCCGTTATATACAGGTTTCACTGTAAAAAATACTTGCGGCGAGTAGGCATTTACAATCGGTATCTGCCTAGTTATAGTAATATTTATATTACTTATAATGACAAAAATATTTAAGAATTTAAAATATAAAAAGGGAAAGTAGGTTGCCGCTATTGAGTACAGCATGGTTCAAGTGTATATTTTAAGATGTATTTATATTGCTATTAAAGTCATTAATTTTTTTCGGTGTTAATAAACGGTAAGATGGCATGAAACGATAATGAACGTTAAACCTTTTTGGCAGAATGATTGAAACACTTAAAATTAACAAAAAAACTTACCACTGACCCAATAAACCAATACGATTAAAATAGAATAGTAAAATTCCCATATAATTCATTTAACTAGTGAAGGATTTAGTAATGTACACATAAAGAAAATGTTTAATGCAATTAATATTCTTAAAAAAATGTCTTAATATCAAAATATGACTTAATGACTAATGAATTACTTGTATATTAGTAATAACGAGATAGCGTAGGCCAAAATTTTGATAAATTACTTGAAATTTAATTTTCCACATTCCACTTACATTTATGATAAATGTTGAGAAGTTTTATTTTTTTTTTTTTTTATTGGCATTTTTCTTTTACCTTGTTCTACTGTAACTATTTTTAATTTCGTTTCTGATTGAGTTTCAATTACAATTTTAGTAACAACATGTATTGCTGGATAATGCTTCGCTTCGAAAGTATAATTCTAATTTCGTTATTTTTCGTTATAATATGACGAATACTATATGCTATATAATATATATAAACTAACGAATACTTCGTTGATGTTAGTGCGACAACTGTAACGCTTAACAGTCATTTTCTCTTATCTGGTATCTAAATCACTAATTATAACCAATAAATCCAATAATAGTCCAATAAATAACAAAAAATATCGTTCAATAATTATTATTGAAATTAACAAGATTGAAGTACTATAAGTACTCGTACAGTTCTGATCTAATAGTTATATTAAGGGCTGTAAATGATATATACGAAGGAAGCGAAAAAAAGTTTACAACTTACACATTTAATAATAAGTATATTATTAATTTAATCTTAAAATGTGCTGTATTTATTTTATAGTAAATAAATTAAACTACGAAACCTTACATGACAATTAATTACATAAGAAAACGTTTTAACGATTTGTTATCTCATAGAAACAACTAGACACAACATAAAATACCCATACAAAGGAACATCTCGGTCCATTAACGTATATATTCATAACATTATAGTGACAGCAATGTCCATTTCATTTCCTTCCGTTTTAAAATAAAATATATTTAATGATTGATATACTTGAATTATTAATCATATAAAAGTGAACATTTTAAATGATCCTGTCTTAATCTAGACACTTTTGTCATATTCTAGTGCGATTATTAATGCAGTTTCCGATATTTTCGTCATATTCGTCTATATACACAGCCAAACGAGATACTATTTATTTTATATAATATATTTCATACAAATGAAATGCAAAAAAAATGTACGGAATCGCCTCTATCGTTCATAATAAATATACAATATAGGCTTATATTGTTTTATTACAGTTCGCATATTTATTAAATATTATACTTCACTATACCTTGTTTACATAAATTTATTAGTGAAAAATTTTAATTAGTCACATTCATAAGTCTACAAAACACACTATTGTAGTTTCAAAGCATAGAATTTCAAAAAAAAAAATCAAATACTTCGTGGGAACAACACCTAGAAATGTGAGAAAAATTGAACAAGGTTTTCAGATAATCAATCAAAGAAACCAATCAATAGGCAAGTTAATAGTAATATTAATAATCAATACTGTGGTCTGTGAGTATCATAATATATAAATAGGAGTATTTATTACAATTATATTATTAATAATTCAAACGTCTGAAAATTACCAAGTGTATTTTACCTACCGATGCCGACAAAATTCTGAACTTGATATTTTATTATCATTATTATCGTTAATTGTTTTTTTTTAATTTTAGTTATTAATTATTAATTTATGTTTACTCAATCAAATAGGTAGTGATAATAGTAACTGCAATGATAGAGATTAAAGTACAACTAAAGTAGGTGAAAATTGTAAAAATCCTATATGAAATAACTTTGATAATTAATAGTATTTAAAAGATTCTAATCCTAATATTAGGTTATGATCATGCCAAATTAAAAAATATCATAAGATTACTAGAAGTTAAAAACCATTATCTTTCAATAAAGGGAGATAATAATATTACAATTTCAGTAACTTTAGATCATAGATGAACACAATACACTAAAGCAACTAAATAAAGGTATCGAAATACTTAGTTTAGATACTTTAAGGGAAAAAGTATCATGTACTTAAATAAAATAAGTGAATTGCTTATTAGAAATAGGCATTATAAATTGGTTTCTTCAATCGATGATAAAGAATTTAATTTGATATATATATTATTCTTCATTTAATGCATATGATTTTGTAATGTCTAATGCTTATACAAAGTCAGCTTTA